TTGGGCTCTTAGAGTGCTCCATGTGCTCAATAGCCATGTTAATTCTCTTGGCAGGAATCTTGTCTTTGTTTATTTACAACAGTGCCAACTGCATGCTGGATAAGATTTTAGACTGCCAGTTTTGCCCAGGAAACATTTGTGTGTGGTTCATTTTTGAACAGCATTCATTCCCTTGATGTCTACAATAACAGCCTTCTTGCAGATGTTCACATATGTGGCCAAGGGAACAACTCCATGTTTTCTGAAAGTCCTAGAGAACAAAGTATTGGGTGCCTCACCTCTTTCCCTTTGTGCTCATTGTTTTGGCAAATTTCTGGAAGATGGCAGTTCTGGACAAATGGAAGGCCATGGTTGACTTCTTCAGGCTGACTCATGTCTGAGACTATCAAAGGGTGATACAGATAAGAACCTCTGCCCCAGAGAATTTAGCTACAGATCATCAGGCACAATTTTAAAGAAATGCTAGTACCTGGCCCCATACACAGACAGAGATTCTGATTTAATTACTTTGGGGAGAAGCTTTGCCATTGGTAGTTTTAAAGAGCCATAGGTAATTCTAATAGGTAGACAGGATTGAGAACTACTGAAATTTTTATGTCTTTGATAATAAATTCAATTCTATTCAATAGATCAGTTTTAACCTACATGTAAAAAAAAAAGAAAAGAAAGCCCTGATTATTAAATGTCATGGCAGACTCCCCCAGATGGAGCAACTTCTCAATACTTTTCCAACTACTAGATAATATCACAAATTTTACTTCTAGAGTGTAATTCTTTTTGGGGGGGCAGGAATTACCAGGGATCGAACTCAGAGTCACTCCACCACTGAGCCATATCCCCATACCTATTTTGTATTTTATTTGGAGACAGGGTTTCACTAAGTTGCTTAGTGCCTCGCTTTTGCTGAGGCTGGCTTTGAACTCTCTATCCTCCTTCCTCAGCCCACTGAGCGTTTGAGATTACAGGCATGCGCCAGGCACTATAGTGTAATTCTTTATTTTTACTATTTTGTTTCATATCAAATGTAAATTACTCTATGTAGACCAGTCTATTAGCTAATTTGTTATTACAACCTGCATATAATTGATCTTGTCAGATCATTATTTGAGAAAGGTTATGGGGAATGGAAAGAATTATTGAGGTTTCCCATATTGAGAAATATAATGAGAAAAATGAAGGTACAAAAATGGTCTACCAATCTTTTGTAAACTTGTCCTAGGTCCCAATAATACCAGGACCGATTGAACTGTAGTTCTACCCTCAAGAGCCTTGGTGAACATCCTGTTAAATCTTTTAAGGAAAACTAGAAAAGTGGTTCAAAAAGTGTGTTTGAATGCCAAAGGGACACAGGAGCCAATTGAGAGAGCTTCCAATGGCCAAATGTGGAACATGTCTATATTGTAATGTAGTGGCACCCCTCCTCCTCTGGGTTTCTCCAGAAATCTTCACCATGGCTGATTTTAGCACTATCAACAAGAGTCTGTACAAAAGAGTTCAATGTAGATAAACTTCCTATTTTCGTGTTGCCCTGTTTTACTTGGCCACTGGCCAGGAAGAAATCAGCATGCCAGGTGCTGGACACCCCCTTACTAGTTTTTCACAAACATTTATCCAGTATAGTTGTTTGTAGAAATGTGTAAACAAGGACTCTAGCCTTGAGCTGGAGCTTTACAGAGATGTCTACATTTCTAAGATAGGAGAAGTTACCAATTGGGCTCCCTGGTAACAGCGGGCAATGGGAGGAAAGAAAGGGGAGAAGAAGCTCTCCACTTCTCAGATGTTGTCCTTGAAGGGTTAACTTGCCCAGAACAGTGAAAGAAAAAGCTGCTTTTGTGTGAACTTCTGCAGACTGTGAACTTCTGAGCTCCTCCTCTTACGTGCTGGGTATAAAATTCTGAAACTACCTAAACTCGGGGTTCAGGGGATTGGTTGATTACAGCAAAAGCTGTGCCCTCTGAACCTGCTGCAGCCAAATAAAACTGTTTCCTGTTATCTTTGGTGCCTTGCCTCGTCTGTCCCCTACAACAGTAAAACATACACTAATGGATTGTAACCCAAAGTGCAAAATAAGTATCTATGTGTCTATGAGTCCTTATTAATACAAATGTATGTTCAAATAAATAAGTAAATAAATGAGGCAAAATAGACAAATCTCTCATTTAGAAGAATTCCAAATAATTTATGTAGATATTCTTTATTCTTTAAGGGCAAACTGCACACAGTGACTATTTTTTCTTCAAAGAGTATAATATGAAAAGGGAGAGAGAGAGAGAGAGAGAGAGAGAGAGAGAGAGAGAGAGACTTTGCAGTGTAGATACTTGGCAAATGTCACCTCCGTCAGGTTATCAGGGTTAATATTAGCAGTCATTACTCATGGCGACAGTATGTACCCTTGATATGATGTTTGGGAATAATACTTCACCTCTGTGGTCTTCACTCCAGGGTTCTATATCTCCAGTCTAGCAATGAGAAATAAATAAATAAAATCAGGTAACCCAAATTGAAGCACACTGTATAAAATATATTCTAGTACTACTCAAAATAGTCAGAGCCTGAGAAGATATGGCCATTAATGTAATGTGGTGTCCTGAAAAGCATTTGGAATAGAAAAAGACACTGGCTAAAAAATATCTTAAGAAATTTTTTTGTTTTGTTTTTGAGAGGCTGGGGATTAAACCCAGGGTCTTACACATACTAGGCAAGCACTCTACTACTGAGCCATACCCCAGCCTTAGAAATTCCTTTTAAAATGTCTAAAGAAATATGAATAATGTATCTACTTTATGTTAATAATAACATTTCTGTATCTGTTTAATGGTTGTGACAAATATACCATAATAATATAAAATTCGGCAGATTCTTTGTGTATCCAAACTTTAGTCAGATTTCTGAATTTTCTTCTAGGTTCATCTGGGTAATTGCTCCAAAAATCCAATTTTAGCAATCCTTGCTAAATCAGTGTAGCAAGAACCCCAACCCTTGACATCTGATCACCCTCTGTATCTGATCAAGTCTCTCATCTTCTACCATCCCCCACCTGATGACTGATCACTCTGCCTATTTTCAGAAAAAGCCTGTTAGATTGGTTTAGTTAGAATCCCCTTTACCCCTATTGTTTCCTCTTAGTAATTTTCCATTCATTGACCCCTCTCCCTGCTCTTTAGCTATAAATTCCCACTTGTGCATGCTGTATTTGGAGTTGGTCCCAGTGTCTCTCTCCCACACTAAAACTCTATTGCAGGGATCCTGTAGCTATCACAATGACACTTAATGAAGTCTTCCTCATTGGGCTTTAACAAGTATCCTTGCATAATGCTTTCTTTAACAGATGGTAAAAGTGGAGGAAACTGAGTGAGTAGTACATGATAATTTTCTGTACTGTCTTCACATGTATTCTGAAGATCTAAAAGTGTCCAAAAATATAAAGTTTATTTTTAAAATAAAGGTAAAGAAATGGAGAAAGGAAGGAAGGAAGGAAGGAAGGAAGGAAGGAAGGAAGGAAGGAAGGGAGGGAGGGAGGGGAGAGGAGAAAAGAAATGAGGATCAGCAGTTGCTGGGATATTTCTTCTGAAAAATTAAAATTTCCAGGTGCCAACCAAGATCTCCTGAATCAGAAACTCTGAGGATGTAGCAGCAATCTGTGATTCAAATTCTGTGATTAAGAACCACTTAAGAGGCAGCTGGCCAAGAGTTTTGCTTCAAGGAGCTTCTTATTTTAGATGAAGTCATGTTACTTTTTCTACAGTGCTCAGGAGTGAAGAATTAGGTCACTCCTTTCTGTAACTTCTGACCATCAAATCATCACCTTTCAAGAGAAATGACATACATGCCCTGCTTCTTCACATGTCATTAGTATTTGATCTCCAGGGCCTTCTGTATGTGCTCATCTTCCAGTGTCTCCAGCACATAGATCTTCACTTCTATGTCCCCAAGCATACAATCAGGTACCACCTTGCATGTTTCCAGTGGCTATGACTCAAGGCAGAGTAAGAGTTCTCTGCAGACAGAGTACATCACCTGGCAGAAAGTGACCTTGGGCCAACTGTTTAATCCCTCTGTACCTGTTATACGTGTTTTTCTGTGTTTTTTGGTTGGTAATCCAAAAGTTTCTTCTGAAATTGGGCATGGCAGCACTTGCCTGAATCCTAGTTACTTGGGTGGCTGAGGCAGGAGGACCTCAAATTCTAGGACAGCCTGGGCAACTTAGCAAGACTCTGTCTCAAAAATACAATAAAAATGGGCTGAGGTGTAGCTCAGTGCTAAAGCACACTTGGGTTCAATTCCCAGGAACACATACACACACAAAGTCAAAATATCTTCTTCTTCATGAGACTTTCTGACAATGCAGAGCTAAGATACATATGGTGTTAAGATTAATATTCAGCACTAGGTAAGAACTCAATAAATGAGCTGGTGTTATTGTTAGTGGTGTGTGTTGCCTCTTAAATATTGCTTATCTTCTCCCGAAGGAGCAGAGTTTTGCTTACAGAATAATATTTCAGTAAGAATCGCACAAACTGAAAGGGTGACAAAACCTCAAAATCCTGTTGCAAACACCATGTCTGCTCTGTCACACACTTACAGGTCTTCTCAGATACCTTGATTTTGAGTTGTGATGTTGGAATTATTGAATGTTGTTTATGCAATGCTTTTATGATAAAGATAGAAATTTGTAGAATATATAAAACTGGTAGTGAATTAACCTTCACTTCATAAAGCTCTACTATTTATAGTTGGGCTATTATAAAAAATAATACCACTTTAATTTCTGTTGAAAGGATTTTTAATTCTGGAGATCCTTAGCAGACTTTCTGTTGGTCTAAGAGACAAGATGAGTCAGAAAAGAAAAGCACACCCCAGGGACTTTTCTAGCAGCAGGTGGATAAATGAATATGTTTGGATAACATGCTTCAATGTTGTTTATTTGCTGTTTGCCAAGGTTGAATAGAAATGAAACTATTTACACACAGAAGCCTTAGGTGTTTTGGTTTATTTTCCAGATGGGAATTAACGTGGTGGACTCCGCAGTGTCAGGATTAGGTGGCTGCCCTTATGCAAAAGGTGCTTCCGGGAATGTAGCCACTGAGGATTTGATATATATGCTTAATGGCCTGGGGCTCAATACAGTAAGTTGCTTTAACAATATTTCAATACTCACGTGTTACTTCCAGTTCCAAATTGAAATGCTTCTCAGATTTGGGAAGCAATGTTGAGGTCAAAGTTTTACTACATATTTGTTATTTGCTAAAATGCACAGTGGGAAAATATAATAGAGTTCTTTTCTTTTCCCCAGCAGTTTCATAAAATAACTATCACTATAGCCCAATCATCAATAGTGCTACTGTTTCACATTTTATAGTGTTTTATAAACTCCAAAGTAATTTTCCATGTATGATCTGATATGACTTTACACACTTTGTGAGAGTCTGTGTCTTTTACTGTTATGATTGTTGAATTTTGCAGTTTCGTGTTTTGTATGGATACTTTCCTTGGAGGAAACTGAGATCTAGATGGTCTCACAGTGACAACGAGGGCTTCTGAAAAAAAAACCCAGTGAGGGTCAAATGATCAAATGATCAGTAAGGGAATGGAGCTTGGAAATATTTAGCATGTGAGACATTGATGGCAAGAATGGTCCCTTTCCAAGTAGCACCTGAAAAGGCACATGCTGTGTGGTAACATCCACCAAAATCGATGCCTTTTTTGCCACATACTTGATAACAATCTGTAAATCTGTAAGGCAGTCTTTAAAAAGAAAGAATATAAAAGGCAAAAAAAAAATCTATGCACAATTGAATACAAATCCAAACTGTTTTCTGAGATGGCAAAGCATGGACTGTATTACTTAATAGATTTTTCCCCCTCCCCTCCTGTCTGTCTTCTTTTTCACCCTAATTACATGAATTTTCCTGCAGCACCAAACTTGCTTATTGTCCACATTCTGCTTCTCACCTCCACCCCTTATGATTTATCATCCCTTGGAATAGCCTTATGACACATATTCCATTTCAGCTGGAAAGCAAGGTACCTTCATCCTGAAAGTATTCTCCCAGCATCTCCATGACCATCTCCTAGGCCAAGAGATGAAATCTCCTCTCCTTAGTCCTTCCTTGCTACCCTCTGTATCTTCACCTTGGAACACACCACACAAGGCTGTATCATGACTCTGCTTACCTGTTCAACATCCTGCACAGGCAGATAGCAATTATTGTAGCTGCTTCATACTCAATGCCTGTGACATAATAAAAGTCCAAAAACTATCAAATACCAACAGCTGTTTTCTACAAACACCAAAAGCTATTGCTTATGTTTTGTGGTTAGGAATAAGTACAATTTCATTTACTAACCAGCTTAATCCTTTCTATCAGAAGGCTATGACAGAAGCTGTAGAGAAAAAGATCCTGAATCAAACTCAGTGATGCTTAGTATGTGTCAGGTCCTGTTATGTAACTGTGGGGTCCAAATGCAAATAAGTTGCTCTGGTTCTAAGAATTTTAAGAAGGATTATAGCATTGAGTGGCAGCCACTGTTTAACTGTTGTCCAAGCTCATAAGGCAAGGCTCTCTGTAGAATCTAATCTCACCATGAATCACAGGCTCAATCATTTGCCAAGCACCACTAGTTTGACTTTTAAGTTTGGCTGTTTATACCTTCCTTACTGTCCTTGTCATGACTACATGTGGGTAGGCTCTTATTTCTTTCCTGAATAGTGATCTCCTACATTGATGATGGCTTCTGACTTGCCTTGTAATTTATCCTCCATGTTGTCATCAGAACATTTTATCTTAAAATACAAGTGTGAATATGCCACGATGTACTTTGAACACCCATCAGTGGATTCTTATTTCCTCAAAAACCAAGACTGTGCTCTATCATATAATCCAGCCTATTTATACTTTTTTTTTCAGTTCCAAAGTCATGTTTTAGCTTTTCTCAATAAGCATCATGATAAGCTTGTCCACTGTCCTCCATATGTACCCTGCTATTTTTTAGATATCTTATGTTGCTTTTCTCTCTGTCTGTAGTGCCCCACATATCCTCCTTCCTCTCAAAGACTCATTTTCTCCATATAAAACCCAAATCAGGATTTAACCCTCCTAGCACCCTTCCCTGGCACATTATCTCCATTCCGTTTCCTCATGAGTTGGTTGCTCCACACTTCTGTCTTCATAAGCACCTGAGCATATCTTCATGGCTCAAACTATAGTACACATTTTTCTGCTTATGGTTCTATATCAGGGAGCAGAAGTTCCCTAAAGACAGAAACCACATTCCATGTCAGATTCTGAAAGCCCCAGAACAAATCATAGTGCATGACACACGTTTAGGCACCTGATAAATGATTTAAGAATAAGTGCTGTGTTGTGTCATGAGGATATTTGTGAATCAAATAAAATGGTAGAGAAGGAACAAGATGAAATTCTTCTTTGGAATGACATCAATGAATTCCATAGTTAATAGTTATAAATGGAATCCTTAGAAAGCAAATAGGAACATTAATGACCAAAATCTTCCTATGAACCCTGGTGGAATATCATTCAGAAATGAAAGACACATGAAGATAGTTTTACAAAATTTAAATATTACTGGATTAACCTAAAATGTGCCTAATGAATACTGTTTGAAGTCATTACTATGACAAAACCAAATTTCTCATACCAAAGCAAATTCACTCCTGAAAATGACTACCCTGAAAACAGCTCTACAATAAAAGAAAAATAATGACAGTCACTTAAATGTGTTATTTTACAAACTGTTTTTCTTGATAATTCTTGAAAAAGAGAAGTAAACTACAAAGAAAACTGTGCTTTAAATATTTCAGAGAGAAGTGTTTAAAAAGTCTCCATTTTCTAAAATGATGATCATTATTATGAAAACCCTTATGAATATTTACACTTGTCTGTTTTAGAAAATTCAGACTTCTATAAAGATTAAAACTACTCCTTAAGAGCAAGGAAGACTGGACATGTTTAATTGTAAGCCCTCACTGTGTCTAGTCCATGTTAAGGGAGGACACAAAAGCTTACAAAATGCTACACAAGGGCCAGTCTGTGGCTGAGCCACTTAATGCTGTGACCCTTCCTAGGACAGAAGAGTTCTGGGTGCAGACTTTGATGGTGACCTTTTGCTTCTTCAAGGCCCAGAGATAAGGAGTATGCCCTGAACTTGGACTTCATACCCAACCGTGTCTGTCATCCAGGGATTTACCCAAGCTTTTGCTGATCTTCTTTATATTTTCAGACAGTACACACTCTCAGGCAAAGAAGTTCCAGATGTGTACTAAATACTTCCTCACTTTATCTAACTTACAACTAACCCCTTTACCATCATATGGGTAATAATGAATTAAAAAGCTACATTCATCTTTCCTGTAATCCAAATGGCTTTATCAAATTTGTTTCTTATATATTAAAGAGATTATTTTTTTCCAAATTCAAATCTCATATACAACTTTCTCCAAGACATTATCATTTTTATTTCTATTACTGATATTTTGTGAACTCTTTTCTAATTCCATTATTGTCCTTCCTATAAATCTGATATTCTCCTGAATTACACTGAGTTATTCAGGCATGCCTAGCCTATATTATTATATGAGGGTAAGATTCTATGTCTCAATAACGGAGAACAACCTTAAATATTGACTACATGATTCATGAAAACAAATGTTGCCCCCAAGTCAATAAAATAATACAGTGTTTATAAATTTTAAATAGTTATTTAATTACTAATAAAATTTAAAGGGATCTGTTTTGTCTTTTTTCTTTCTAATGCCCCATTCCCTCTGCTGTCTCTTCTTTTCCTCACTAGGGTGTGGATCTCTACAAAGTAATGGAAGCTGGTGACTTTATATGCAAAGCTGTGCATAAAAATACAAACTCTAAAGTAGCACAAGCCTCCTTCAGTGCTTGACATCAGTGGATTTGTGACTTAAGATCAAGAAGATCCATTTCAGCAGCATACATTCATCTGAAAATCATTAGTGCCAACTCATTTTGAAATGTAATAGGCAAAGGTGGAGAAAGAGGAACAACTTTTTAAAAACATTATTACTGAATAGACTATGACGTCAATAGTAAGCAATACCAGTCATCAGGTAAATCATAATTGGAGGATGAGTAATGAAACTTGTAGACATCCTTTTGAACTTGGAGGAAAAAAAATGTCTCATCTTTTGCTCTTGTAGAGATGACTTTTTAATTTAGTAGACGTGAATATTGACCTCAGATTTCCCTAAGTGTCACGTACTGTGTTAATACTTAATCATGCTAGCTTAGCACAGTATACACATTGTCAGTAGTTTATGAGCTCCCGCATAGTGTGCAGAGTGTGTGGCCTTGATATTATGTGTTATGCCTCTGGATATCAACTTTCCATTTGCCAAGTCAGTTAAGTTATGGATAAAGAGCCAAATCTCCATCTGACCCTGCATAATTTTAGCAATAGAACTTTTATATTTCAAGTAAGGCTAACATCTGTTAACTATTTCAGTGACTTTATCTGGTTCCAAGAGACTGTGGTCAATGGCAAGACGCCATATCGTGGAAATGCATTATAGCCACCCATGTTTGTTACACGCATCCAGTTTACCATACTTTACCTTTCATCAGCTATGGAAAAAAAGAAAAAAAAAAGCATGGTGTTACTAAACTATTGAGAAATCATAAAGTATGACTTTTGTTTAGATGTTTTAAGTTTTCAGTTATGAGAACACATAGATGCAGGTACCATAATCCAACTCCTTAATTTCAGTTCACTTCCAAATTGCCCAAGGAAATATCACTGAGATCCCAAGGATATTAAGATGATTTTTAGTTCATGAAATATGTTGGTTTATGTTAATTCAGGGTACCTTGACTCTATCAGATCATTTTTTTGGTTCACCTTTTAAAATGGTTATTTTAAAGTTGAAATGGGATAAATTTTGTCTTTTGTACTAAACAACATTGCCAGAGAGACAAATTTAGTATATTAAAGACTAAAAGAAAGGGAAGCAGGGAACGGTATTTAGAAAAACATTGCTATAACCTATGCAAATAATACAGGGATGGTGTTCTTACATGTGGATCTGGAATGTGAGTTCTATTACTTATATAGACTTTCCCAATAATACTGGTGATCTTATCTTTGAATAAATTTTAATATAAATTGAAATATGAAAGTGAGCTTTATGGACTTTTTGGAATATATTCATTAAAACCATTGAAATAAAAATAGATTTAAGAAAATAATTATGGATTGCAAATAAGTCATCTTTAAAGATACAGGGTAAGAAAAGTATCAGAAAGTCAGCATTGATAATTGACAAAACCAAACTAAATTCCTATGGAAGAGGCCAACCTACCAGCTCGTGACACTGTTTTGGAGCAGGGGCTGTAACAGCACACTCGTTTTGCAGAGTACTGAAAGCAGTTCTCTGTTTTGGGGTTCAGGTAGCGTGTGAGGATAGTGTGAGCAGCATGCAAAATGGCAACTGGTTATGGATCTGCTTCAGTTATATCTCCCTTGTGCATCTCTCTCCATGAAGTATGTACCCTTGCACACTAAAGGAGCAAAAAGGTATCTTTACCAAGTGTGCACAGCAGGGAAACTGGCTTTTCCTCTCTTTCTCAAAGCTGCCGAGTTCTTAGTTTTGAGATATTTGAAAAAGTACCTTTTGATACAAACTGCATATAGAAACTGAGACGGGGAAATGTTGCTGTTTTGAACTAAAATCATGGACTGTTCAAGAAACAGAGCAAATAGAAATTCTAGGTTCAGTCTAACACACAGTTACACAACACTCATATCAGCCTGCAGATTCATTTCCATTACTATCTGATGCTACCTAATCATATTTGCAACATGAAAGTTTATGTTTTAGATACTGGTATCCCTTTCTTTACCCCAAATTCTTTTCTAGCTTAATGAGATTTTTTTTTCAGGTTTTGGAAGAAAACTCAGATAATCATATAAAGCTGTCTGAAACCCACAGACAGAATCCACCCAAAGTTATGTCTCAGCTAACCAGAAATCCTTGGAATCATTGCAAGACCCACCAAAATAACTCACCTGCTCATATATCAATACCATATTTAGTTTCAGGGAAAGGATTTAAGAATAAAAATGCAATTATAGCTTTTGTTGAAATGCAAATCAAAATATTTTATAAAATCTATGCCTAAGTCAAGAAAATATTCATTCTATGTATTAGAACCTGTAATGCATTTTTATCATGTGTGTGTGTTGATGACCTATTATAGACAAACATTTTAAAACTACATTCTCTGAAAAATAACAATTTTAGAATCCTGCATTCCTAAAATTCACAAAGCAAATGAATGAAATCTGGCTATGACTTTCTGGGAAAATTCAGATGCCATTGTGATGTTATTCATTATGATCACTACAACATTTAATAAATGTCCTTTTAACTGTACTTATATGGTTATTAATTTCTACATATGTACATTATGTGTCTTCTAAGTGATTAACTCCAAATATTAGTCATAGACTATTTAGCACAGAGAAAATAAGTCACAGATATCATCTTTGTCACAATTGTAATGAAGAAATAAAACTAAGGACTGGGAACCAGTCAGAAATCTGAATTGAAGAAATATACAGGAGAAGGACTGCTATATATGCCAATGACCATTTTGCTTTTGTGGACTGAAGATATGGGTTTTGTACTTGTATGGGACAGTCCCAAGAGTTAAAAGAATAGTTTTAGAGATATAAAGATAGGGAGGAAGGGACTGGAAAGTAAGAGAGACAGAGATGGGGGAATGTAGGCATGGAGTGAGGGAAGGAGAATGGGAGAATTAGAAAGAGACAGAGGGGCAGAGGTGAGAAATCTTTTCCTCACACTTGAATGGCTGAACAGAGGATAGATTCTGCTGTGATAGGGTGCACCAGTAACAGAAAACTCACTAGGCTTAAGCACAATAAAACTTTTATGTGCCAAATATTCAGGAAAAAAAAAAAGATTTTCCACCACTGTTTAACTCAATGGTTCAATCGTGTTACAAGTTAACATTTTCTCTCCATTTTCCTTCTTGTCTAACCTCAAGGTATGGGGTCACCTTTAGACCCTTGCTCCTCATGGGTGCAAGGCTGTGGGTACTCTCAGCCTTCACATTCTAGTGCTCAGCAGCTGTAGGGCTTTTGTCTTCTCCAGGGTCCTTTTTAATCAAGGAAGTTTGTCCTCCACCCTATTTCAAACTCCCCCTCAGAGTCCAGTGAGTAGGACTCATTACACACCCCATTCCCACAGGAATAGACCCGCTGTATAGACCAAATGGAATCACTGGTGATCTGCAAAGAAAACCTCAGGGAACAACTCCAAGAATGGATCCTATTTCTAACCACTCTGAGATGGGAGGAAGGGATGGAAACTGGAACTTTTTCTTTTTGTTAATTTGAAATAAATATATTTTAAGATGAATGGAGTTAATGCTGCTAATTGGTCTCTATTTTTCCCCCAATGAGGTAGGAAGTGAGATCTTCAGGCATTAGAGAGGGGGGTGGAGTGAGGACTCAGAAGAATAGTAAAATCTGAAGTCCATCACTTGGGGATGGGTAGTAACATAGCAGAGCACCATTAGAAGTTAACTTACTCTATAAAAGTTTTCCAGTGGGTGTTCTGTACTAAATCTAAGTACACTGATCTGACCTTAAGCCACCTTTGCCACCCAACCTGGGACACATTCCCACCTGCTTCAAATATTTTTTACTTTCTCTCCCCATGTTTTACCTCTCTGGCTGCTTCTCTCTACATTTTTAAAATTTTGGCTTTCTCCTTTTCGCTCATGCTACGGACTCACAAATACACAAATATTCATAAATACATTTTCACTATTCAACATTTGGTCCAGGCCCAGAAGGATCATTATCCTGGGATATTTTAAGAATTTCAGGGTCTTGAGCTCCACCTCAGACCTGTTGCATTCGCATCTGCATTTTATCCATTTTATCAGTGTCCTCATAGGACTCATGGGCATGTTAAGTTTGAAAAGTATTTGCCTGCTTGTCACCTCCTTTTGGTGTCTAACAGGCACTGGAAGCTTTGTGTTTTCAAAATACCTTCTACCACTTCTTTCCTCTTGCATTATACTCTAGCCCATATCTTTTCTCTGTTTCTCCAATGAAGCTGACTCACATCCATCTCAGGATACTCTAATTCCTCTGCCTCTAATGCTTTTTCCTGAGCAAAACTGACTCCTTGTCACTCAGGTCTGAGCATAAATGTCCCCTCCTTAATGGGTCTTCCTGGACAACTCAGTCTGAAGTAAATCCTCAGTTACTTTCTTTTACTTCAACTTATTTAATATTTATTATAGATCTGTGTTGTAGCTTGAAAATTCGCATATCTAGTGAATTTAATCACCTTTCTAATAGTTTTTTTCCCCTCCAACAGAATAGATAGTTCCTATCTTGTCCACTCTGACTTCCTTAGTGCCCAGAATATAGTGCTAGGGCTATAGTGGAATATAGGTTCCACTTCTGTCAATAATTTTTAAATTAAAAAAAAAGAAAAGAAGAAAATGGGTTTAATTCAAACATTTGGTAATTTAAGGGAGATCATCTCACCAGAGCTGTTTTGGGGATATGTACGTATTTTTTAAATTCCTTGAGCCCTTAATGGTTTTTCTGAATTTATTTGTTCCAGTTTGGAAGAAAATGCTTATTGCAAGTCCTTAAGACATATGATAAATTATTTAATTAGGGAACTAATACATATGTACACCAACGATGTTGTTAAAAAATGTTTAAGAAATCAAAAATGTAAGAGAAACAAATGTGTTGCTAAGCAGGAATCAAACCAAAGTGAAACTTCTGGAATTGATAAGAGTAAATCAATTTCATTAACAACATAAACTTTCCTGAAGTGGAGAAGTAATAATAGGTATACAGAGCCATTAAGCGGTTTTACTTTGGGCATTTAGATGTGCATGTAATTCCTTTCTGTCTCACTGAATCTCTCTTATACACACACACACACACACACACACACACACAGGATACACTATTGTAGTTTCAGCTGATAAAACTCAGTTTCCTTATCACATTCTCTGTAATCTATTTTCTATTCAAGAAAAGAGAAATGCATTTTTTATTCAAATACCCACTATTTGAATAAACAAGTGAACTGTTATACTAGCTATC